TCCCTTTACAGCCAAAAGCAGTCACAGGACCTTCCACAGAGGGTTGACTTGCCAGCCCCCTCTCTGTGAAGACAAGAACACAACGGATTCTTTCTTCTTTTCCTGCTCTCTTGCACATGAAGCTGGGGTCTGCTTTGGCAGGATCTCTGGCAAGATGGAGATCCAAGGCCCAGGGGGACCCAGCTCTCCAGAATCATAACGGATAGGTCAGAACCTTTCACAACCAAACTGCTGCAAAACAGACCTTTTGCAACACATTTCTTTTGAGTTTCAGAACTTATAGAGCCAGACTGGATGAGAAGGCCTGCCTTGATGAGCCACTGAGACAAAGAGGACCCCTGCTGTGAGCCACTGAGACAGAGAGCCTGCCTTGCTTAAAGCCTGCCTGCCAAACTCAGGCTGATTGGAAACTCAACCTTCCAAATTGAAATGGACAAAAAGGTTTGCAGGTCTGGCATAATTAGGGACAGAACAAAAATATGTCATTTGATGATGTTGATCATGTGTTCACTGATGACAAGCTAACAGGATGGACTTCATGCTCCGCTATGCTATACAGAAACATGTTTTGAGCTGTTGTTAAAGCTTGGACAAGCTTTATTTCACTAAGGGTATAAACACTGATATAACATTAGCGTTCATGTGTTCCTTTAATGCTCATTACATTTCAATTAGCAAGTATGACCAAAAGTCATTCAGTGGAATGTATATATTCGCTGCTAGCTATTTCAAAGAGGGTAAAGAATCATTTGACTAAAGGTTATTGGTTCTTGATTAAGCAAGTCATTTAATAAAACATTATATGGTCAAATAATGTTTTATTCACCTCATGGCTTTGGATTGTGAATCGGTCTTAAAACATTCCTTGTTTCTCTAAATTAGTGAAAAGCTAACTTGATCATACCCCAAATTCTTCAAGATAAACGTTGTTTTTTAAACCCAAAATCCATTTTAAACTGTAATATTGTTTTCAACCATGTTTTCCCTTCCTCTTTGTACATAGTAATTTAGTTTGGTTGAGGTTCACTAGACTTAGTTAAGAGTTTTAAACAGAAATATGTTCGACTTGTAGCTGAATGATTGTTGTTAATAAACTCTTATATTTTGAACCGAAGTTGTAGTGAATTTATTCCATGTATGTGCAGAATTAATTGTTTGACCATGATTAGTGCTCGAATCACCCTTTCATTTATTGTTCTAACACACAGCTAGTAGGGCATGTGTTCATAAACAATATATAACAGCCAAAATAATATCTGATTAAATAAGATATTTTTCCGGCATCAGAAATATAAATTCCAAGCTGGCTGGGAATTGCATTGAAAATAAAATCACAACAATGCAGTTGGGATACACATTTTAGTATTGTTTCTCATACAGAAAGGTAAAACTGTTGCTCATTATTCTTACAAGTTCTGCCACAGACACCTGATTGGATTTGATTTAATTCAATTCAGTTTATTTATATAGCACCAATTCATAATACATGTCATCTCAACACACTTTACAGAGACAATTCAATCAAATCATAAAGTCAAATTGGTTCAAAGTTAAGGAAAACCAACTACTTGCATCAACTTTACAGCAAACCTTCATGTAGTGACAGTGGAAAGGATAACTCCCTTTTAACAGGAAGAAACCTACAGCAGAACTAGAACCAGTATTAGTGGCCATCTGCCGAGGCTGACTCTGGCTCAACGAGACAGAAGCAGACATTTAAGGCTTTATATGTAAGAAGGAGGACTTTGAATTGTATTCTGGATTTAACAGGAAGCCAATGAAGAGAAGCTAGGATAGAAGAGATATGATCTCTCTTTTTAATTTTCATCAGAACTTTGGCTGCAGAATTTTGGATCAACTAAAGGCTTTTAACTACAGTTTGTGGACTTCCTGATACTAAAGAACTATAATAGTCCAGTTTGAAGTGAAAAATGCATGGACTAGTTTTTCAGCATCACCCCTGAATAGGATCATTCTGGAGATGAAAGAAGGAAATTCTAGAAACCTCTTTGATATGGGACACCAAAATCTTTTACTTTATTATCTGAAATCATCAATTAATCAATTAATTAATTAATCCCATCCAAATGAAGTGACCGACTAATCAGCTTCTTTTTCAAAGACTCCAAAGACTATAACTTATGTTTTGTCTGTATTCAGGAGCAAAAAGTTAAGAGTCATCCAGGTATTTATGTCTTGATGAGATAGCTGTTGTCTATGTAATGGATGAAATTAACCTCAACTGAAGACAAAAAAAACACAGCAGAATAACAACAACAGAACACAGTAAACTAATCCCATCCAGTAAATCAACTCAACGGAAGCAGACCATATATACATTGTTAAGAGAATTGGTCCTAGCACTGTCCCCCTGTGGTACTACACAGGTAACGTGGACAACCTGAAATCTGTTAAGTAAAATTTAAACTGGCCTGTTCCTGTAATTCCTACAAATAATTGAAGTCTTTCAAAACTAATATTATGATCAACTGTATCAAATGCAGCACTGAGTACTAACTGGACAACTACAGATACAAGTCCATTATCTGAGGCCATGAGAATATCATTAGTGACTTTTACCAGAGCTATTTTAGTGCTATGATGAGCTCTAAAACTAGATTGAAACTCTTTAAAAATAAAAAAAAATAAAATAAAATATGTGGTCACACACTTGTTTGGCAACTATTTTATTTTATATTCATATAAAATATATTTGAATGGGTATAGCAAAAAATATTCTTGCTCTCAAATGTATGTTTTGGTTCTTTTTTCTTGCTTGAAGGTAGTTTTCCCTCCATCTCTTTGCTAAAGAAAAGCATAATAACATTATGCTATTATCCAAACCATATATTAACAAATCTCTTTTTATTTTTAAATGACATTTGAAAACCATGTTTCATATTCCACCAATTTCACAATTATACATTATCACAGAAAAGGATGTGTGCAAGAGGTGGAAATGTTTGAGACATTTGAATTTAATTTGTTTTTTAAATTGAGTTTTGAATTAAACTGAACAAGACTGCATATGTAAAAAGTGTCTAAATCTGACTTTGAAAAATTCTCTGCATTAAATAGCATGTTGGAACATGACTGAATTGTTCACAACTCGATATGAATTTTCCCTACTTTGTCCAATAAAGGGTAGTGTGTGATTTTTATTGTGAGTTGTCACAATATAAAAGATACAAATATTCACACCATGTTATTAAATCCAAGATAAATTCTTTGCATTCTATATCCTTGGCTATTCATGATAAAATTCATCTATGGAGAGCAGAAGCATAACACTGGTAAATTTATCAAAAGACAGCTGCAACAGAAAGTGGACATTTACACCCTGAGCATGTGTGAGCATATATAGGTGAAAAGCCTGACAAACCTGTTTGCATAAAGTGCATCAAAAGGTGTGTGTGCGTGTGTGCAATGGTTATCCTAAGGCTAGCAATTTTTATGCACTATGGAGGAGGAAAGGGAAGCTTTAATTAGTTACAACTTAGACTTTTAAATATAACTAACATGTATTCTTCTCCTTGCCTTTCTGAATGTCTGCAGCTCACATGAGGCTCCACTCTTAAATGGAACCAGAATTGAATACTTAAGTTAAAAAAACATGGTCACCCAATCAGTGGCGGCTAGTGGCGTTTTCTCAGGGGAGGACATAAATTCAAAATACTGTACAAAAAATACCAAAAACCAATCAAACCTATACTAAGTTATCACAATAGTATATTTATATAAATGCCAACAACAAAAAACATAAAAACACTTAAAGTCTGACACAACTTAAACACTATAAAAACAAAACATCATTTAATGTACAGGTTTACATTTTGTACATAAATCTTGGCCTTCTGAAGCTTTGTGACAAAATATTGTCTCACAAAACAAAAACAAAAAAATGTACCAGTTTAATAATGGAGAAGCTATTAGTCAGCTTTATATTTTTTAATATATAAAAAAAATTATTTTCTGAGAATGGGTTTATTTAAGAGCAACTATGCAAATTAACAAACATCTTGGAAAAGTACACAATATTATTTCATTTTCCATGTGAATCCCAGATTGTACCCTGTGATGGACTGGCAACCTGTCCTGGGCGTACCCCGCCTCTCGCCCGTAGACAGCTGGAGATAGGCACCAGCACCCCTGGCGACCCCCTTCGGGATAAAAGCGTTTCAGAAAATGGAGGCAGACAGTCAAGGCAGCAGAAGAAAGCATTAGCCTCACTACATGCAGTTAGCCAAGCCTTATAGCTAAACCAGGTCCTGGAAAAAAGATCCTGTCATTTGGACTGCTGATTAATTTTGATGTTCACCTCCAGCTTCTCTTGGTAAGTCTGTTTCCAAGAGACTCTCCAAAAAACGTAACCTCCTTTTCGGAGGTAATAAACACATAAAGTTACCTGTAGACAACAGAAGATACCTGTGTATGAAGCCAAGCTACTTTAGTGAACCGTCCCACAGCTTTCTATGTAGTTTCTGCAGGAAAGGAGAGGATTCTTGTTCCAGGTGCCAGAAGTTGCTTGCTTTATGTGTAACGGATGGGATGCAGTTCTCAGGAATACCCTTTAGTTATGTAATTTGTCATAAAGTCAAATCCTCACATTTTTTATTTTCGTTTATGGAGAAAATGTTTGAGTTAATGATACAAACGTAACAGCATTCTACGTGCTTTGGAATAGAGAATATAGAATTAATATTTATAAAGATTTTAAAGCTTTATAAAAATTTAAAGCTTTACTAATAATTTTCCACACACAATTCTACACACTACGCCTAATCGATGCTCCTCTAGCACAATTGATTTTTGTTGATTTTTTTTTTTTTTTGTAATTGGACCTAGATCTTAAAATAAACTATAGCAGCAAACATAATCTACTGAGAGTTAAATTGAGGTTTTTTATATGTGGCTCCTCAAGATCAAGCTCCTGTAAAACCTTCAGTTCTGTCTGTGAGCAGCGGAGTGTGTAGCTCTGCTGTAACTTAGTTGTTCTCAAGTCAATGACCAGCTGTGGTTACTATCAGCCAGAGGCCCCTGTTTGGAAAGCAAAGAGTTGTTATGCAACGACTGAAACAAGCTCAAACAGAGGCAATAACTGGATGATTTGAAGCTCAGTCGCTGCCGAGGAGGTCTGACAACAAAGAAGCCACAAGAATGTCTGCGTGTGAATTTGAGTCACTCGAAAAATCTCTGGAGTCCCACCTGCCAGAGGCCGAGCTGGCAGAGGTGAAACGAATCCTGTTTGGGAGAGAAACACTGTAAGTTCTTAATTCAATGCATTTATGTATAAACTTTCTACAAAGCAGAGGAATTCTTTCAGCTTTGCGCAAGTTTTTTTTCCACTGGTTTCCTGGTAAATTATTATTCTGCAGTTTGGACTTTGGTCGAACCCCAGCCTTCCACAAAAGTTATAATGTTCAAAAATACAAATTCTTCGTAGTTAAGGACACTGGCCTACTGATTTAGATTAAATTATTGGCACCGTGGTAAAAATTTGTAAATCAATCTAAACTAACAATCCATGCAGCAGCAGGATTTTACAGTTGGGGTAGATATTTTTTCCTGTGTGGTTGTGCAGTTTTTAAATTTGTTGCCTCAGCGAAACGGTCAGGGGTATGAACACTGGCCTACAGTAAGCTCTTTCTGCATGGAGTTTACAACCCATGCATGTGTGGGTTATCTCTGCATAGGTTCTCTCTAGTTATATAAATAAAATATGACAGGTTGATTGGTGTTTCTAAATTTTGCTTAGGTGTGGGTGGGTATAGTACATGGTTGTGTGTCTCTGCGTGATGCCCTACAATAGACTGGTTACCCATTTATGGTGCACCCTGCCTTTAGGTAAGGAGCATGGGCATACATTCAGTGAGAATCAGCAAACTATTAAAGAATACCTCTTTAACCTGCTACAGGAGATCCATCTGCCTTCAGTTATTAACATCTACATCTAGTTGTTATAAAGAGCTCCTACAGAGAACATATAAAAGAACAATTAAAAAAGGAAAACAAAAAAATGTTAAGTGTTACTGAATATCTAACTGAAGAAGAGTAATTTTGACTCATTTTAAAAACTGACCTGTCAGGGCAAAAGTCAAAATAAAAACACCATAAAAAGAAGTTAAAAACATTAAAAACCTCACAGTTATGACACTTTTTGGTAAATTCTCCTTGGTACATTTAGTTTGTGTAACTCTACTATCACTAACCAGTGATGACACATATAAAGATAAGATAGTTGTATGGATTTTTCTTAGTTATATGTACTTGAATATCTTTTTTATAAAGTACTAATGCTCTGAAATAAAAAGCTGTTTTTATTTTTGAAAAGTTAAATCCAAGAGCATAGTTCTAGGTAAAGTTTCAGTGGAATTTGGCAGTCCATGTTTATATTTATGATGGTAGGGCAGAAAAGGCTTTTTATTGCTATACCTCACTGTTGGGTCTGGCCATGCAGGGAACCATTATAATGAACAACTGATTAGTAAAACCGTTTTGAAACCCTGCCGAGATCGGTCCGAGCACGGTAATGGAGATAACTGTTGAGTGTAAATGGCACGCACAACTGAACTGGACCGTGCCAGACACAACCGAACCATGTAAAACTGGTACTAGTTAATCAGATAACAAAGAATGCATGAGCAGACAGTGTCATCTCCTTACAGTCAGCCTTTGTAATCATGAAATTTCAGACAATCATAAAATAACTAGCTTCCCTACCTTACCACATGATTTCCAGTGATAATTCTGCTTAGCAGTGTGATAAACCTCAAAATCCGTCATTGTTTCTCGTGTCTAAAAGCCCTGATTGTCATGTCGGGTTCAAGGCGTCTAACCCACATGCAGAAACACTCGTGAGACAGGGAAAAAGTTAAAAGGTTTATTTACAAATTTATAATGAGAATAAACTGGTTCTTGGCTCGGCAGACAGGTCACAAGGGGAACACCACTGAGGAGGACAGAGGAGTTAATGTTGATCCAGGTAAACTGCAGGTTTTCAGATGTTGGAGTAAATAC